TAAGTCCAGTGCTTCATCCATTTTGGATCTAAAGGCTTCTAAATTCACTTATTCCACTATCCAATTAAAATCTTTTGAGAATTAAGCAATCATTTCCTCATTTGCCAGGATTAAATTTAGATGCTTGGATGAACATAAGCCTTATCTCTCAAGCCATCACTTTTAATTGGCAGCATGTAAAAGGATAACATAGGGTTCTAATTGACATTATAGTCTATTGCCATGGAAATATAAACAAGGGTTTGTATTAAGCTTGTCTCAAAGCAAGTTTTAGGGGTGCAGAGAGACTGGAAGGGAGACAGGGAATAAATTATGTGGAAAATGTATCATCTAAATGTTGGAGTGCCCTAGGAGCTCTGACCCTCAGTGATGCTATTCTGTCTCATGGCTTCGAATGCCATATATACACTGATGATTCTCAAGTTTATATCTTCAGCTGGACCTCTCCCCTGAACTCCAAACTCATATCTTTCTTCTTGACCTTGTCAATTGGGTGTCTAATAGGTACCTCACATGTCCACCCTGAGATACTAATATATAGCCCATTCCCATCCAGCTCTCTCTGCTCACAATTTTCTGCATTTCAGCAAGGGTCAACTCCCCTTCCAGTTGCAGAGACCACAGAATTTGGGATAATCTTTGGCCTCTTACTCCTCAGAGAATCCTGTCAGCTCTACCCTCAAAATATAATCAAAAAGGTGCTCATTTCTCCCAACTTGCACTGCTTTCAAGCTACCCTCATGTTTTGCCTGGATTTTTGTGATCAACTCTAAACTTGTCTTCCTGCTTCTGCACTTGCCTGCCTTCATTCTAGTTCTATTCTCGTATAGCCCCCAGAGAGATCCTATTTCAATCTAAGTCAGATTATGTCGCTCCTCTGCTCAAATCCTCCAGTGGCTTTTCATCTCATCCAGAGTATGACCCAATGTCCTTTAATCACTGCTTGCCCTCCCCCAACCCTTTTTTCTTCTTTAGCTGTACTGGACTCCATGTTGTTCCTTGAATAGGGCCTTTGCATCTGCTATTCCTTCTGCCTAGAATGCTCTTCCCCCAGGTTATGACTTGCTTCCTTTCCTCCTTTAGTTCTTTACTCTAAATCACCTTCTCAGTGAAGCTTTCTGTGGCCAATGATCTAAACTTACTACTTCTACCCCCCTTTCATGCTTTATTTTTCTCCTTAGCTTTTTATCTAACATACTATGTATTTTACTTATTTCTACTGATACTGTCTCTCCTGCTAGGATGTAAACTCCATGAGGCAGTGAATTTTGCCTGTGTTTTCACTGCTGTATTCTTTGCACGAGGGAAGTGTGTGGCACATAGTATAAACTCAATAAATATTTGTTGAATGAATAATTAAAATATCAGTGATACATGTCATAAAAATATGGATTATTAATGAAAGCATAATTAACCAAGGTCTGTGAGCCTAACATCTAGAAATACTCTTGTGTTATTGGATTTTTATGGATATCTGTCTCTGGAGGAACTTTTACTTTATTTCTCACAAGATCAGACTTGATTTCTCATATCTTTGTAACATGTAACTTTAGAGATGAGTGTTCAAGAAGGAAGTGGATAATAATAAAAATAAAGGTGAGTGTTAAATAATGTCCATTATTTGCCATGATGGATGAGCTAATGATTTTTAAAAATTATTACTACATAGAGCTGACTATTCATAGTTGACTGAAATTAGAAATGAAAAAAAAAAAAGTTGCTCATTGATTGAATTAGCAGTGTCTGGCATACAGTAATGTAATATATAAAGTTGGACTTGGATGCCATCCAAAAAGGCTTTGTTATGGAAGTAGTTTTATTTCTAAAGTGATACTAAAGAATAGGCATGGGTGTCTGGGCTGGTTACAGTTAAACATAGGAATAAAACTAGGAACAGTAATGAAGATACTATCTTTAGACCTAAAATTAAAAATCCTTAGTTATTATTCCTTATCGGCTTAAAGTACACAATGAAAGTACAAACTATTACACAGCTCTCAAATGAACTACAGATGAAAAGGGCAATAAGTATCAGCCAGAGTTAGAGGTAGAATGATATAATGGAAAGATAAGGGTTGGAGACCTGGGTTCAGCCTTCATTATGTCACTAACTGGCTGTGTGATTTGGGGTGAGTTGTTGATTTTTTTTTACTTTAAGCTTAATCACCGTGGTAGGAAGAATAATGTGCCCCATACCCCAAAACATGTCCATATCCTAATCCCCACAACTTGTGAATATGTTGTTACATGGCAAGGGGAAATTAAGGCTGCTAATAAGCTACTATAAAATAAGATTATCCTGAATTATCTGTTTGGGCCCAATGTAATCACAAGGGTTCTTTGAATGTAAACTGCAGGCAGAAGACTGAGAGAGTGATGTGAGAGAAAGACTTGACCAACCATTGCTGGCTTTGAAGATGGAGGAAGGGATCATGATGAGCCAAGGAATGTGGGCAGCCTCTAGAAGCTGGCAAGGAAAACAAAATTCTCTCTTAGAGCTTCCAGAAAGTGTTGCTTAACCATTAAGTTTGTGGTAATTTGTTACAGCAGCGGTAGGAAGCTAATAGTCATGCTATGTACTGTAACTAGCAGAGTTGTACCTAAGTTTATCACAGATGCAGGATTTTAAGTAAAAATCCTACACTCAGGTGTTCTGTAAAGATCATCAGAGCCATAAGTAATCAGAGACCATGAAAAGTTTGTAAAAAACCTGTGGGAATGAGTAAAGAGAGTCTATAGGGGAATAACATTTTTACTAGTGATTCATGTGAAGAGTGGAAACTTGAATGTTTATTTAATAAAAGAAAATGGCAAGAGAAGAGAAATTAGAAAGGTTATACACAGTGTAGGAATTTGTTTCTTCTCTGGGTCTCAGTTTACTCATGTATAAACTGAAGTCCTGGGATAAATAATCTATAAATTTCTCTAGCTCTGAAATAAGATTTTAAAATCCTGACATATTAACATGGGCCTTTGACACCACTCCTTCACTCATGCTAGCCTGGGCAACAAAGTGAGACTCTGTCTCAAAAAGAAAAGAAAGTATTATAGCTATCTTTAGTTATCTGATGGTCAAACTTCACAGAAAGCTCTTAGTTTGCTAACAAGGAAATGGCTCTGAATTTTAACCCTGACATTTTTATTGAGGTAGGGTGCGTGGGAAAATTGTTTAGCTTTCTTAGTGTTTGGCCACTTCGCATATAAAATCACATACCTGATTTTTTTTTTTTTTTTAAGAGCCAGGGTCTCTCTGTTGCCCAGGCTGGAGTGCAGGGGTATGATCATAGCTCACTGCAGCCTCAAACTCCTGGCAATCCTCCTGCCTCAGCTTCCTGAGTAGCTAGGACTACAGGTGTGCACCACCGCACACCTGATATTTATTTTGTTTTTTGTAGAGATGAGATCTCTTTGTTGCCCAGGCTGGTCTCGAATTCCTGGCTTCAAGTGATTCTCCCAACTCAGCCTTCCTAAATGCTGGGATTACAGGCATAAACCACTATGCCTGGTCCATTTTTTATTTTTATAATATAAAAATAGCAGTGTAAGCTAGTCACCAAAATAGTAAACTGAAGCAATCTGAGTGGTAAGATTTCCTTGGAATATCTGAATTTATTATTATTATTTTTACATACTTTTTTTTAAGAGATGTGGTCTCCCTTCCATTGCCCAAGCTGGAGTGGCACAATCATAGCTTACTGCAGCCTCAAATTCCTAGGCTCAAGGGATCCTCCTGCCTCAGCTTCCAGAGTAGCTGGGACTATAGGCCTGTGCCTGGGCAGGCTAATTTTTTTTTTTTTTTTTGGTAAAGAGGTCTTGTTATATCCCTCAGGCTGGTCTCCAACTCCTGGCCTCAAGCAATCATCCCACCTCAGCCTTCCCAGTAGCAGGGATTATGGGCGTGAGCCACTGCCCCTAGCTTACTTGGCTTACTTTTATAATCACATAAGCTATTTTCATTAAAAAAAAAAAAAAGATGATAACTTGAAAGGATCTGTCCACCCATCTCACTAACTCAACCTATTTTCATTTAGCATATTTTCCATGAGTACTTGATCATAGTTTTTTTTTTTTTTTTTTTGAGACAGAGTTTTGCTTTCTTGCCTAGGCTAGAGTGCCGTGGTGTCAGCCTAGCTCACAGCAACCTCAAACTCCTGGGCTCAAGCAATCCTACTGCCTCAGCCTCCCGAGTTGCTGGGACTACAGGCACGAGCCACCATGCCCGGCTAATTTCATATATATATATATATATTAGTTGGCCAATTAATTTCTTTCTATTTTTATAGTAGAGACGGGGTCTCGCTCAGGCTGGTTTTGAACTCCTGACCTTGAGCAATCCGCCCGCCTCGGCCTCCCAGAGTGCTAGGATTACAAGCGTGAGCCACCGCGCCCGGCCCATAGTTTTTTAATGGCTGTAAATGTTGTGTTTGTTTTTATTTTGACTCATATTTGGGTTGCCATAAGTATTTTATTACTGAAAAATAAGCTGTAAATATAGAATACTGCAGGAATGCCAACAATCCATATGGTGAAGGTGACTAATTGTCTTTTGACCTCTACTCATTATTTTATATAAGCTTAAATGAATAAAATCCAATTTGGATAGTGTTATGGTTGACAAAACACTTTAATTCATTTAGTCCTCACAAAAACCCAGCGAGGTAGGCACATCCTCAGAGATAAGTTACTTGGCCAAAGTCACCAGACTAGTCTAGGGGTGAGACTCAGCAATCTGACCAAGGAAACAGGAATAGGTCTTTGCAGGCGCTTCTAGCATTATTAGAGCTTTTACTAAACTGTGGCCTCCTGTGACGCTCACCTGACAATTATCTTTACAAACTAAAATTTTTCCACGCCAGGAAGTCAGGCTGCAGCTGGGGAAACCTGTAGATCACACCAAAAGCTACCACTGTCCATCCCCAAAGACCCAGTGCTAAGGCATTGCAGAAAGTACAGTCCTCTTCCTCCCCCAGCCGCAGACTGCGTATTGGCCCCGGACTAACCTGACCAGGTCTGTCATGCAGGAGCCCACCACTACCACCGCCGCCACCTCCTCCTGCCACTGCCTCCTAGGTTCCCCAGACGCCGCCATAGCGCAAAAGTGGTGCTGCCCCCTGGGACGCTGACCTTTGCCCTTTGCCCGACCTCGTAACCAGAGACGCTGCTTCTACCCTTCCTAACGACGCGGGCCTTTCAGACGCCTACGCGGGTCGCCCACCTGAATGCCCGAAATCACCCACCCATCAACTGTCCCCTGTTCTTCCAGGAATAGTCTCCCTGTACAGCCTCACACGGCAGAACCCCCCTGATATTGCCAGACTCCGCTCTCCTCGACACTCACGAGGTAGACGCAGAGGGAGGAACTGTCAGGCACTGCCGGGACGCCCTTCCGAGTGCCTTTACTTGGCGCGGCGCGGGGGCGCGCACGCCGCCCAGCTCGTGGGCCGCCGAGGGGGCGGGGCGGGACGTCCTGGGAGCGCGCACGCATCCGGCCCGCGGCGCGCGCGCAGGTGGGTGCGTCGGTCGGGGGCGCGCTCGGGTAACCTGTACCCTGCGTAGTCGCCGGTTACCGATCGGACTAAGTTCCAGGTACCTGGACTGGGGCTGGTGCGGGGAGGTTGGATCCTGAGTCGCACAGGTGGCGCTAAAAACCGTGGTTTAAATATGGCCAGAGGGGTCCCTTCCTCTTCCTATAGAGAAGGCCCCCCCGTTCCAAAGATGCCCTTCTCACCCCCCTCACGTTGGTCTCCTCAAGAACGAGCCCCTGAGGCTTCTCTTTCTGCATATGTGGCCCGTCCTCTGCTCCCTGAGTAAACCCAGAAGGTTAATCAACCCTCCTTGTCGCTTGACGAGGGGATCATACAATTTAGGAGAAGGAAGAATGCCCCGTTTTAGAGGTTCCCTAGAGTGGGGTGGGCGTTCTTTGGGTCTGAGCTGACTTGTTTTTCTTGATCGTTGCCCCTTGGAGAAATTGCTTCTCCAGTGTAACTTCCCTCGTGCGCTGTATGACGTAGACATGATGCAGAAGGATGCCATCCCTTTCCGTTCCATGACGTCAGCAGGGCACATGTTTCCTCTGTGTTTGTCATCTCATTTTAATTGCAAGAACCTAGACAGTCCGTTAGACGTCTTTTGTAGTCCCCAGGCTTCCCATCAAAGGACCTTATGTGGCCCTATTTTTGGGACATCAGACTCTTGTAAAAATTGTAATTTTGCATTTTCCTTCTGCAGTACGTCAAAATCAGGAAATACAAATTGCAGAACTAGCATTTGTGTCTGGAATCTATTATAGTGCTGCCATATGTAAAAGTTACTACGGGGGTGTGATCCCCGTTCACGTACCCGGCTCAGTGTACCAAAGGACCATTATCTTTGGCCATTCAGTGACTTCTAATTTTGGAGTCAGTCTATTTGTTCCTTTTTCTTAGAGAAGTCACACCTCCTCATAGTTGAAACAGATTATAATGCTGCAGGAAATCTTACACTGTCAAAAAATAGTATTTATGGTTGTTTTGGAAATAAAGAAATTCATTCCCTCAGGTGTCATCCTAAAATCATGACAGTGGCTAAGTTGGAATATGTCGTTGTCACCTATAGTATGGTTTGGCTTCTGGAGCAGGTTTGCTCTCTTTAGCATTTGACCAGGGAATCACTCAGGCCAGCTTCTGCAGTAGATGTTTCTAACTGCAAAGCAATTATTCCTTTAAACTCATGATTTTTTGTCTGTTCAAAATTTACAAGATGTATGCTTTAAAAAAATCACCCTGATGGTTTTCTCTTTAGTGCTTGAATTTATCAATGTTTATTTGAGATGAAGATGGGTATAGTCGATTTTGGGCTTTTCCAATTTGAATTTCAATTCTAAATTTGAATTCTGATCCTTCTGCTTGTTAGGCTTATGACTTTGAACAAGTGACTTTGTTTTGCTGAGCTTTAGTTTTCTTATCCATAAAATGGGAACAATTATTGTTCTCAGGGAACAATTGGGGGAAGTAAATGAAATGACAAATAGAGGTTAGTAATATAGTGCCTAATAGTGAGTAGATGTTTAGAATGTGTTGGTTCTGTTTCCCTTTGTTGTAGAAATGAGAGGTAAAATAATAGTGAGCACTGGGGAAAAAACACCGAATAATTTTGTAATGTAGGTGAGACCCTTTTGCTTTTTTCCAAGATGAGTATGTATGTGTTTTGCATATGATCTAGATAAGCATCCCTTCAAGCACTGTGACATCAGTGGACAGAAATAAAGGCGGAAATGTTGTAGGAAAGGAAAAAAATTAGGTTTCAAAATGATGATACAGATTAGTAAACTGTTCAAAGTCAAATTATAGTAGTTATCCATATCATCTGAAAATGGGAATTAAAATACTTTCCTTGCTATCCTGGCTTGTGAAGATTAGCTGTAATAATGTATAGGAAGCTCCTTATTAGTGATAAAGTGTTATAAAAATGTACATGATTTTTATGATTGGTGGTACTGTGTGTTAGATGTTTATTTTTACTTTGTAAAAATAATAATGGGAGATCATCTGTTAAGTGGTTAGAAGAGGATCTTGTTTTATATTTGTAGAAAGGATGATTTTGGAATTGAAGTATAAAGTAAAAGGTTTTATCATCTTAAAGGTGCTTCTGGTGTCATCATTATATAGGGTCATAGTATTATTTTTTTTTGAAGATCACTGCAGTCTTTCCCTTTCTTACCAACTGAAATAATAAATTAAAACAGGTGCTACTTTTAACATTTATTTTAGCAGGGACTTGTAAGTTCTCCTGTGGTATAATGTATGAAAAGTAGAATCAGAACGTCACTTTCTTGTAACTTGCTGGAAATTAATTTGCTTTTGATGTGGGATTCTTTAAGATTGAGAAAGAAAATGATGATTTGAATTGACTTACATCTGAAAGTAGAGGCTTTCATTTAGAAATCTATTAAGAGGAATTAATGTACTCCCTCCTCAACCCCATGAGTTTCCAAGTAATTTAGATATGATTTATTAGTTCTACTTTTGTATTATTAAGTGTAAGAACTTCTTGGTGCCTTAAAGTGAAAGACTTTATGATCCATCTTAGTCTGTGTTGCTTAGTATCTGGATAGGTGTATGTTTTCATGATTTAATTGTTCAAGTAGCTTTTTGCTATATTCCTCAGATTTTGCTGCAGCTATTCCCCTACCAAATTTTTTGAGGGCATATTATCTTCTCTGCATACCAAAATATTACTCTAACTCTTGTTCTCTTATTTATTTATTAAAAAATGGTTTTTGAATGCTTACTATGTGCCAGGTACTTTTGTTAAACCCTAGTGATTAAAGACATTGTCCTTACTGGGGAGAGATCACATAAGCAGGTAGTTATAATACACTGTGGAGGGCCAGTTATTAAGAGAGGTATATCAGCAATAAATAATTTCTAGTAAGTAACAATTGCAAGCAAGTTATATGCTTGTTCTAGAGTTTTATATGGTATTATCAATCAAGTTCTTACTCTTTGTGGGGCCACAGAAAGAGAGATTCTTAACCCAGTGGTGTGTGTGTTTTGTGTCATGATGGTGGGGAGAGGGTTGTTAGCAAAGGCTCCTTGGCCTCAACTAAAGTAAAACAAACCAGTTGTAAGATAGATTCGGACAGCTTTAAATAGAGTATGGCAGTGTAGAAATCAGCTTTGGGAGGGAGGAGGGAGTTGTATTTCAAGAGTTCCTTCTTTTCCTGAAAAGTGGTAGTGTATTCCATGTCCTGAGTAGCAGAGCAACAATGAGACGATTTCTTTTGGGGGATCTTTGGAAGTGGTTGCTCTGAAGATGGGAAATGAGGTATTTTATTCATGCAAGAGAAACTGTTGTTTGCTGCGCCAGTTTTCAGGAAGCTTGTTGTATCTAGTTCCTTTGTAAACTCTCATCACCTTTCTTTCCTTCTGCTTTCAGTGGTGATTTACAAATCAAGTTAAAATGTCCCCAGAAGTGGCCTTGAACCGAATTTCTCCAATGCTCTCCCCGTTTATATCTAGCGTGGTACGGAATGGAAAAGTGGGACTGGATGCTACAAACTGTTTGAGGATAACTGACTTGAAATCTGGGTATGTACCAGAATGAATTCAATGAATGTACCAGAACCAATTCAACCTTTACCTAATAATAAACATTCCTTACCAAACTTATAAAAAGTGAGCAGCAGCACAGAAGTTCATAAAGTCCTGATATCACATGTTGATTCAGTTGGTTTTGTACAATTCTTGACATTTTATGTTTCAAGTTATTTTATTTGTGTTGTGGGCCGTTGCTTTATGACCAGATTGTTCATGCCTTTTTTCTGGTTTGTCTCTTTGTGAACAGTGTGCCATGGGGGTTTTTAGTAAGTTGTTTTTCATTCACTGGCTTGTTTTCTTGTTGTATTTGCTAAAATCCAGCAACAAATATATTCTGAATCTTACATCATTTGGTAATCTCCCTTAATATGAAAATTACAATAATTAGCCAGAATGAGGCATTCCTCACAATGGGGTTGAAACTGTAAGCTGTCACACCTAGAAATGTTCCATTAAAAATAACCATTTTATTTTGAAATAAATTTAGATTTACAGAAGAGTTACAAAAATACAGGAAATTAATGTTTTTATAGTGTTAATTGTTCTACAGTCTTACTTGATTTTTGATACTTTTTCCATTAATGTCCTTTTTTTGGTCAAGGATCCAGTCTGGTATACAAATTGCATTTAGTTGTCAAGTCTCCTTAGTCTTCCCAACCTGTGAAAGTTCCTAAATCTTTGTTTATCATGACCTTGATACTTGCAAAGAGCACTGGCTAATTATTTTGTAAAATGTTCTTCTACATGGGCTTGTCTAATATTTTCTTTTCATTTGAGTGGGAAATGCATTTTTCCCCAAGAATACTACAGATGTGTTATTGTGCTATTCTCAATACATCAGATTAGAGAATATGTGATGTTCATGTGGCTTTTTACTGGTATATTAACTTTGATCACTTGGTTAAGATTTTGTCTGGCAGGTTTCTCCGCTTTAAAGTTAACTGATTTTCCATTTGTAATTAGTGTAAATACTATATGTTGTGTAATGATGCTTTGAGACTTTGCAGATATCCTATTTCTCATCATACTTTTGTCCACTGATTTCATCATCCATTGATGTTTCTTGCATGCAACTATTATTACTCTGGTGTTTGCGTAAGAGTGATGTTTCTATTTCCTTCATTCTTCCCACAGTTATTAATTTAAATTGTACTATAAGGAAGCATTGTCCTTCTCCCAAATTATTTATTTATGTCAATATAAATTTTTAGGGATTTATTTTATTCTATGGGTTATAATTCAGATACTATTATCATTTATTTTGTTGCTCAGTTCTAGGTTTTGACTTTGGGAGCTCTATCAAGTGGCTTTTGTGTCCTTTTGACATATCCCCACCATTTTTGAGGTCTTTCTTACTAGAAATGTTGCATTCTTTTTTTTTTTTTTTTGATATACAAGAAGTTTTATTGTACTAGGGGATTTATGGGAGACACAGGCTCTAGGTGCTGGGCCAAGGTGGCATGGGCTATGCTCAATGTACCCTCTCTGATGTGGTGCCCACTGATAAAACCACTGGCATGGATGTAGATGCAGCCAAGGATCCCACTGACCTTGTCCAGGGCCTTCTCCTAAAGACCTTGTCATGGCTCTGACAAGGGCAGCCAGCTTTGGGTTGAGTAGGGCTCCTTGGGCACACATTGTACCCACCACTGTATAGCCTGGTAAGTGTAGATAACAAAGGTGATGGCTTGGGTGCTGGCAGGCCAGATTCCTGGTGGTAGAGCTGCTCCTTCCAGGGGCATCCACCTTTTGCCAGTTCTACTATTTCCCCACTTGAGTCCACCTGGGATCACTGGGCCAGGGTCTCTTCCACCAAGGCACCAGGCTGAGCAACCTGGGCACTTAGGGTAGTGGTCAGTGGATATTGAGGCTGTCCTTCTTCCCACTGTTAGATCCCATTGTCCACTGTGTCTTCTTCCTGAAGTTCTTGTGCATCTTGTAATAGAGGATGCCCACCATGCTGTCCTCTTCAATATTGCCCAGCAACTGGGCCAGCAGCTTGTGCCTAAAGTACAGATAGGTGAGTCCCATACTGCTCACCTTGGTCTGCCATGGCTTCCCAGGGCACAGGGAACTCATGGTCTCTGTGAAAGATGTCTGATGATGAGCTAGTTGATGTCTCTGAGGGTCATATGTGCCATACACCTTTACTACAATGTCATATGATGTCCCATGAAGCCACCTTTTGGGGCTCCTATGTCCACACCATGGACATAGGACATAGACATGTCCTATGTCTGCATCTCCTGCATCTGGCAGGAGGTGAAGCAATGTGCATGCCAGCACCTTGTTGCAGTGGAAGGTGCGCTTGTGTATCTCCATTTGAGGTGGTGTGGTTGTTTAGAGGGTGGGATGGACTCTGGGCCAAGCACATGGTGCTGGGTTTAGAGGGGTGATGGTGGCAGCAAAAACAGTGGTTAGAGCAGAAATCTTGTATTCTTGATTCTCTTTTAGCTGTCCATGTAAGACTCTTTTGCCTGTTACAAATCTTGCTGTTTTTTGACTAAGCTAAAGACTTGAATATAAGGATATAGACTTATGTTCTTTAGTGGTAACATAAAGAAGACTAAGTTGGATACTTCTTTGGAGTGACAGGATGCTTTTTAAAAGATCTGGTATTATCTTCAACATCATTAATCAAATACTTTTGATCATTTACTATTTGGTAGTCATTTTTCTAGTGTTAGGCCCATATGGCTCCTTTTTATTGTTGAGGAAAAAGAATGTAACAGAAAGAACTCTGGTGGAGTTGATAGGAAGAAGGTTTTAATGTTCTTTACCACTTTGAATCTAAAAGTTAATTATACATATTAGAGGATTTATAAATAAATTGTCATCCTTAGTGTGGTTAGGGATTAGAAATTGACTTTTTAAATTTCTTTTACTGGTTTAGAATTTTGTACCATTTAGTCGAGCAGTAGGCCAGGTGCTTAGACAGGCTTCCTCAGCTTGTAAATGGTGATAGGAAGTGAGGATGATGAAATAGAGATTGTGTGTAAGATTCATTCAGTGTGAATTCAGCCCCAAATTCTTATAGACAAGTTAGATACAGATTGGGGCCTCCTAAATTACAAAATACTTTCTTTAAATGGACTTAATCTCTGATTGAAGTAATCAGGATCAGATCTCAGAGGGTATTTTCCAGTTGCCCTTACAGTAATTTGTGGCACACATAAAGCAGAGTGATACACTTCCTTTACTGTGCTCATTTCTTGTCACTTGGTTGCTTTGATTTTGATTTCCTCTTTCTGGGACCTTTAAATCAGTTAATTTTCTTCTAGGCCTGATAATAAAGATATTTTCAAATGGACCACAGGGTATTTCAGAGTAACTCTTCAGGTTTTGCCATACTTTCCTGTTTCTTTCCGTCTCTGATTTTTTGAAAAAATCTTTGCATTGTGCTCATTTCTCTTTTTCTGTATATTTTTGAAGGCCTAAAACTGTTGGTCTTAAGTTCCTTTGGCTCAATGTGATTATACCTAATCCCACATATTTTCTCTTCCTTTCCACCCTGGTTTTCTGGACCCAGCCTATCTTTCATTTTACTGCTAGGATCATACAAATTAAGGATTTTCTTCTTTTCTAGGAAAGAGTGAGCTTGGAGGAAAGAAGACATTTTAGGTGTGCATTGAGCATTTTAAGTATGTGTAACCAGAGGCAGTTTCCGTTTTCTCACTGGTTCTCAATTTCTTTATCCATAAAAAGAGCAATCAGATTAGCCGACTAAAATTTCTACAGGTCAAAAATCCTGTGAAAACAACCCAAATGTTCACCAATTGATGAATGGACAAACAAATGTGGTGTATCTACAAACAGAATATTATTCAACCATAAAAAGTAATGAAGTACTGATCATGCTATAACATGCATGAACCTTGAAAGCATTATGCTAAGTGAAAGAAGCTTATCACAAAAGGTCACATATTATATGATTTTATTTATATGAAATGTCCAGAATAGGCCAATCAATAAGAGACAGAAAGTAAATTAGTGGGTACCAGGGGCTTGGGGAATTAGAAGTGACTACTTGGATGTGGGCTTTCTTTTTGGGATGACAACAATATTGTAAAATTAGATTGTGGCGAAGGTTGTACAACTTTGTGAATAAACTAAAAATGACTAAATTGTGCACTTTAGGGTGAATTTTATGGTATGTGAATTATATCTCAATTAAGCTACCATTAAAAAAAAACACAGTCCAAGCCAGTAGCATGTGCGTATAGTCCCAGCTACTCAGGAGGCTTGCTTAAGCCCAGGAGTTCAAGGTCAGCTTGGGCAACATAGTGAGACCCATGTCTCTAAACAAATAAACAATAAACCAACCCATGAACCAGGGATTTTCTTTGGCCAGAATGGATAGAACATAGAAATAAGTCTTTCTTCTTTAGCATGTCATAAACATTCTTTTCAGAGATATTGAAGACCTGAGATTGGACTGATGACCAGTGGACTGGTGACTGGTTATGTAAGATGGTATTAACCTGAACTTCTTACTCCTTGCATCAGTATCCTGAAAGACCAGTTGGGTTCATTAACATAAAGTCACATTGGTTCTTTCCTGAAGATTCCCTTTTGGGTGCTCCCAAATTCCTGAATGTTTAGTTGAGTGTTTAAGTACAAATAGTGGATCTGATGATGAATTTGAAATGAATCCACTAGTCCTGGCTGTGTCTAGACTAAGTGTGCCTGAAAATTTTTTGTTTGTTTGTTTGTTTTTTAAGACAGAGTCTCACTCTGTTGCCCTGGCTAGAGTGCCATGGCATTAGCCTAGCTCACAGCAACCTCAAACTCCTGGGCTCAAGCAATCCTTCTGCCTCAGCCTCCCGAGTAGTTGAGATTACATGGTGGCATGTGCCACCATGCCCGGTTAATTTTTTCTATATGTTTTTAATCGGCCAATTAATTTCTTTCTATTTTTAGTAGAGATGGGGTCTCACTCTTGCCCAGGCTGGTTTCCAACTTCTGACCTTGAGGGATCCTCCCACCTCAGC